TGTACGACAGTTACAAAGTGTAGTTTAAACTCAAGAACATGGCATATATGTGACAAATGAAGACAGGCACCTCAACAAAATACTCTTCGACCGGATGATCGAGCCAGCTGAAATAGGGTGCGGGTTTTTACCGGTGTCAAAGCCTTCCAAATCTCCTGGGCCTTCTATAACAACCAGCATTCACTGCCATTCTTCAAGCTTCTGATTATCCGGTGTTTGAGGGTCTGCGTGCGCCACCGCAATCGCCAGTTGCTGGTATGGCCTTTCTGGCCACAATGATACGAACACTGCATGATATCCAGTGTTCCTTGGGGGCAACGGTATGTTTGAAATAATGCACTGAATACGATAGCACGAGAGCCACTGAATGGGAGAGTGGACCATCTGTGCCAGTGTCACCAGCCACTGGTGAGCTATGTTCCGTGGACCCAATCCAGCGCGGCGGAATAAGTTGACCCAACTAAGTTTACGGCAAGTTTCTTCGTCGCCAGGTACATCTCTCGGTCTTTTTTGCCCAGCACGCAGATGGGGCAAAAAGAGCTCTAGTAGGAAGATGGCATTATGGCGTTCGGAGTACATGTCTTAACCAGCGTAACCGATGAAGCGTGAGTAATTCATCTGTCGCGAGAGAGTTTCTTCTTCCCACGTTCACTTTGCGTACCTCTGCATTTCCAAACCGATGTTCTACCGGTCCTTTCCAATGCTCCCGAGACACAAGTGGTCGAATGTTGACATCATCCGTACGTCCTCGCCGCTTTTAGACTACGCCTGTGATTCATAGATGATCACCGGAGCGCAAACTCTGCCCTTGAGAGACAAACTCACGTCAGGTCGGCGCCACAGGTGTCGGTGTCACAGATGTCGGAGGTAGGCAAAAGCAGCCTTAGCCTTCTGACATCATCCGTCCTCGCCGCTTTTAGACTACGCCTGTGATTCATAGATGATCACCGGAGCGCAAACTCTGCCCTTGAGAGACAAACTCACTCACGGTCGGCGCCACAGGTGTCGGTGTCACAGATGTCGGAGGTAGGCAAAAGCAGCCTTAGCCTTCTCGACTCGGAAAGTAACCTCATCTTCTTCCGGTCCTTTGGAACTTATGCAAGTGCTCAGGTAAACATTTCCAACTACCGCAAGCACGAGTTTTGGGTTTGGTTCAACCCAACCTTTGACATCCTCGGGTGTGAAGCGCATGTCAAATTGTGTGGCTGAGTAAGTGATGTTTTTAGATGGTTTGTATTTTTGAAGGATATTAACAACTGTGGTCTGCGTGCTCAATGTCTATGAGCAAACATCTCGGCTCACTAAGCTCCCAGAGACAGGCAGAAAATTGTCAAGCATCACAGCATTAACAAAGTTGCCGATGAAAGATGGGAGAGAACAGCCTTGTATCACACCACTGGACGCGGTGAATTCAGGCAGACGCTCGCCGTATACTCGTACGCGCCCGCTGGAGTTCACATGCAGTGCCCACGATAAGAATATCAATTTGGAAGGGATAATTTGATCGTCAGACGCTGTCAACGTTTCTGACGATCGATGGAATCAAAAGCAGCCTGCAGATGAAGAAAAATGACCAACGTGGGACGTTTAAAGGAGTGGCGCGGCTGAAGAATTTGTCTCATGGTCGACGCATCCCCGATCATATTGAAATCCAGCTTTATTCTCTTCTGTATCTCCCCGTAGTCGTTCAGCTTACGCACAATAATACCAGGGAGCACTTTAGATGTGACGGACACCACACTGATGCCACGATTGTTTTCTTATGAGGTTCTTGCCCCCTTTCTGAAAACTCAGGTGACAGTCGGGGATTTCTGTCTGACTGGCGATGTGTTTCCGTTTCAAACCTTCTGCAGTATGGTTATCAAGCTGTTCGTCAGGACCTCGCCACAATTTTTATGGAGTGCGGGGCATAGACCATCCAAGCCAGGTGCCTTGTCACGATTTGGGATTGATATACCACGCTGGATTTTCGTTGTCGACTATGTGCTGGTGCTCATCTCCCATTCAGACCTACTGGGTACTTCTAGTAATTGTGCTGGAGGAGGCCAACTGAAGTGATGTTTGAGATGTCCAGCCATCAGTCAGGACGACGATCGAGGGAGTGAATTGCTGTTCCGACATTTTTCACATTGTTTTATTGACATCGGTTTCCTTCGACCAGCTGATCGAGTCAGATAAAATAGGGAGCGCATTTTTAAAAATGTGAAAACCTTTTAAATCTCCTGGGCCATCGAAGAAAAGCCAGCATTCACAGTCATTGTTCAAGCTCCTGGTTATCCGGTGTTTGAGGGTCTGCGTGCGCCACCGCAATCGCCAGTTGCTGGTATGGCCTTTCTGGCCACAATGATACGAACACTGCATGATATCCAGTGTTCCTTGGGGGCAACGGTATGTTTGAAATAATGCACTGAATACGATAGCACGAGAGCCACTGAATGGGAAGCCTTCAATTTTAATAGTTTCCTATTGTATTGCGGTTGGCTTGTTTGGTTGGCTGCACCGCTCCATAATCCCCATTGTATTGTCCGGGGACCTCGGGTCCTTCGGTGAATTTGGTGCTTTGGTTTTTTGCGGGACACGCCCTCATTACTTAGTAAGGTGTTCACCTGAACGTTTTCCGAATTTTTTAGTTCAGATCTTCATGGATATTCTTCCTCCTTGTTTTGTTGATTGCTCCTCCAGTCAATTTCAATATGCTTTGTGATAGGTTCTTCCGTGGCATACCGTGGTTACGTAATATATCGTCGTGTCCTTTTTCCCGCCTAAACAAATATGTGAAATACTCCACAATGGAACTCGTGCCCCTGCTGATCTTTCTGCGCGCACATAAGAGATAATTGATAGTTTTCCTGTAGCAAGCTGTTGTTCATGCATTTATCTGGAGAGCTAACTTCCTGTGTGCAAAAAGCTGATTTTGACAACTGATGCTTCGAACGCTGCCGTCGGCGCCGTACTTCATCAAGTTGTTAACCACGCATCTCAACCCTAGCCTCTTTCTCGCAGAATGTGCAGGCTGCACGAACGCGTTACAGTACTTTTGGTCGTTAATTACTCGCAATTTACCTTTATATTCGCCGTTTCCGGCACTTGTCAGAAGGTAGATCGGTTACCAATAATAAGCCACTCACGTAGACCTTTAACGCCAAGCCGGATCGATATTTACCACACGAGATACGCCATGTTGACTACATTTCACAGTTCACTACCGACATTCGGTACACTCCAGGTTCGGACACTGTCGTTGCAGATGCACTATCCCGTCCTGACATCAACGCTCTTCACCCTTCCGCACAGTTGGACCTAGCCAAGCTGGCGAACCCTCAAACTAGCGATCCTAATTTTTTGCCCATTATATCCTTCCCTTCCTCGGGGAATATCGATCGGACGTTGCATTGAGTGCGAAAGTGAGCGGTTTTTACGATCTGTGAGAATCACAAAATGTCGGCTTTCCAGAATATGTCGGAAGTGGCGTACAGCTAAGTAAATAGCTAGAAGCTCCTGGCCGAATGTGCTATATCTCGTTTGTGCTGGCTGTAGCCGATGCGAGAAAAATGATAGGGGTTGCATTTCACCGTTGGCCTCCTGTTGCAAAACTCCACCAACTGCTGTTTGTGAGGCATCAGTGACCAGGAACAGTGGTGTGTTAGGATCAGGGTTAATGTGTGCTAAGCTAGTTGCCTGGTTTAGCACTTCCTTCGCCGTTTCGAAAGACTTGATAGCCTCGGAGGTGAGTGTGATGTTGCGAGTTTTTCGTCGTAGTAGGTCGGTGAGAGGTTGAACAA